CATCGGTTCTCCTCGCCCGACCGACCCTTCGAGTTTTTAGACCTATCCCGCCCCCGCGCAGATCTTCGCGTGTCCATCACGCACTCTGAATGGAATTTTTGAACAGAACCACGCTTACCGATCGGGGTACAGTCGGACTCCCAGAACACGAGCAGAGCTTCGGGTTTCTCTCGAGACCAGACAGCTCCCCGAGAGTCCATCGAAATCCGTGGGTTCGACTCACAAAATTTCCGATATCCCGTTCGCTTCTATCGGATATACTACTGACGTGAATCCAAGCCGCATTGAGCGCGCGGATCACGTCGGATCTAGACGTGAAGCACTCGAACGAGTCACGCGGCACTAGTTCTTCTGAATGCATCATTTTTCAGCTCCGACGGCCGTAGCGGCTACATAAGTCTTGGCGCGTGCGATTTCACGCTCTGGTTGGAGATGGGTCGACGTCCATCGATCGCGATCAAAATTTCGATATGTATCAATCTAAGCCTTCAAAACTAATGGATTATTGGCCCTGATCGCTGTTGCTGAGCGAGTCGACTGGCGGGGCTTTCCCGCCGTAACGGAGTTCAAAGGCCTTGGAGCTGCATGGATGTCCTTCCAGAGCACCTGTGTAGAATTCAGATGCGAGTTGATGATGCGGCCGACTGCTCCGCTAGTGCCCCTCGAAGCAAACGTTTACGCGGAGCTCCCCTATTTCCACCTCTATAAGTCAACGTATTAGCGAGGGTAGTGGAAGTAGTTGTTGCCGATAGTTCGCAGTATAGTAGAGGTATAAATGGAACATTGTTATCGTATGCTTCAACAGTCTGCCGAGGGGGAGGAGGGAGCCGACCTATCGACCGGGGCCTAGCAGCCCCGAGGTCCAGCGATGCGGGATGGATTTTGGAGGTGGGAGTGGGGGGCGAATCTGCTCATGCTTCACGACGCCCTAAGGGGCAGGCACAGCCGCGCGATTGATAACGCGATTAATATTCGGAACTTATCGTTGCAAGCAGAGGCTAATACATTGGCCATAATACTCTAATCATATCCCTTATGGAAATATTCAACGAGCGCCCGGAAGCCGTTTTCGTAATCAGTTGTCAGTTGGTCAAACATAGGAAGGAAGGCTCGCTCGTACGCGTGTTCGCTTGAACGCTCGTGACTGTAGGTCGACATCAACAATTTGATGACGTCCTCCGAACTTGTGGAGCTGCAACGCTGTGCCCGTTAGGAGCTCGTCCCCTTGGCCCGAGCCGAGAGCGCTGATCCCGTCCAATCTTTAGAATTCGGACGAGGATATTTTTTCAAGGGCGCGCGATCGTTGTGAAACAGCTCGGCTCTGGTTTCCGCCCGACCATCTCGCTAATTGCTCTCATTCGTTCGCTGAACCCGTTGTAAGCCGCGCGTATGTGCATATATGTACTGTCGCTAAGCATCGGATTTGTGGACCTGACCCGCGTTTTCCGACGCAACCCCGGGGTCCGTCTCGACCAGCGAGCCCGGGCCGTCACAGTTGAAAGTAATAAATCCTCCGGCGACATTTTAAAGACACGCACTGCGCGTGCTCGCCGACCACTCACGTCCGAATTAACACGTTTTAAGTCTAAAAACTTCAACGGAAGATACGTGACCAATTTTTTGGCGCGCACCGCTCATCGCGCGTCGTCATGGTCGTACGCTGGTGGTCCACGTCGACGCCGTGATCCTGACAGGAGTGTTCAACACTCCGAAGAGAGCATCAATGAGACGGGGGGAAGTTCCGTTGAGGTAAAACCGAATTACGATTGAGGAATGAGATTTCCACATTGACTCGATGGCACGGATCTCTGGGAGTAGAACACCTGCGGAATCTATGGATTATTCGCTAACAATAAGTGGTGCGAGAACCGCCTGGATGTGCAATGCTCATCCTTCCGAGGCCGATTCCACAGGTCGAGGGTGGTGGACACGTCAGACATCCAGAACGAACTCACGTTCCAGGCAGTTTCAACGCGTTCTTGAATCCACAGATTCGTTGATGTTGATGAAGGCATTTTGTAACGAATAGCCTTATTCTCATGTGAGCGATGACTTGGCTAGGCGCAGTCGACACTCGTTCATACGATGGTACGTGCCTAGTACGAGCTACTCAGTGGACACGGAAAAAAAACTTATATTCGTGGGTGCTCACCAAGGAACGAGAGCGATTTTTCATCGTGAATTCGCCGACAGCACGCTTACCAACAGTTCGCTGATTCGCAAGCCATGACGAATGGCTTCCACGATTCGCGTTTCATTGTGCTGGGGACTCTCCGTGCGCTGAAGGGTGGTCCTCCGACCTGGACGGAAGAGAATACAGACACTCACAGAGCTCGCAATTCCCCGTTCACCGATTAGCGAATGTCCTCGAAGAATCCGTCGATGCCGAGCCTGCGGCCGGAGAGTCGTCATCGACTCTCGCGGAACTCGGCAAGCTTCGGAGCTGATGCGTTTTCATCTGTCGCATGGCTTAGAGAACAATATTGTCAGAGCGACTTCCATGCTTCTTGCGCACATCAGTCAAGATAACGTCGAGTGATGGATTGAGTAAAAGTCCGCTACCCAGAGCGTCACAGCTATCTGCCTGAGTTTGCTGGCGTTTCCCCGTCCCACCCCTCCCGGCGTCCCTCGAGTTTCGCTCGATAGCCCCCGTCACTCACCGAGCTTGTCGTTGCGTCGCTCGGTGCCCTGACATCATTTCTGTCGATTTCAAGTCTTACAGTCAATTTCTGAAAATTCTCTCGCAGGAGTTCCGTGGATCAATCCGGAGAATTGAGCTTGGATTCTGCTCGCGTCGAGAAGGACCGAGAGACTTGGGGCGTGGGTCTGAGGGAGAAACACGATGAACACTCGGGGACTGCTTCACAGGCCGCTGCGCTCCGCTTGAAAGATCACTTCCGCTGCTCAAAACCAGTTAGTCCACACAAGTCGAGAGCCGTGTCCCGTTGGATTTTTTCCCGCTGCTGGTCGGTCATGAAGACCTGTTGCTAGACTTGTGATGACATCTCTCAATTCGCTCCCGGGACGCGGGAGTCGTGGGTTTTTCGCGTACCAACTTGCGGTGATTCTCCTTGAGATTTTTTCCGGGATAGGAGTAAACTTTTTGATGCCACAAGCACTACCCAGATTGTTTGAAAAACTTTCTCTGGACTTCGTCGACTTTCCGCTACGCGATTGAAAGTTGCACAGAGCTACAGCTCCCACTGGTCTTGGTGACCGTAGACCTCAACGGCTCCTCGATTGAGGATGGGCAGCAAGGAGGAGCAAATCTTTTTCATATTCATGAGATTATATGCGAATGTCGGGAAATGACGAACGGGGACCCCCGAAAGATTTGGCAAGGTTCGCGGACGGCCCTCAAATGGCAATCAGGGTTCCGTTAGTCGAAAAAGTTGCTGGGCTGTTCGCTCGCCAGCTCCCGAGGCTAATTATCCGACGATTAGCGGAAGAAAGGAGCCCGCGTCGTAAAGGAAGCTCGAGTTCACGTGGCAGAGGTACGACAAGGAGCAGGAGATGAATCCGATAGCGGCGGTCCCAAATGACTTACCAGCTTGCCTGTTTGCTCTCTACAGCAGTTTAGTGAACCCGACGTCGCTCCAGTGAGAAGGCTGGTGGTTGCTCGGTATCCGGTGGAGCGGGCAGAGCACTCAAGAAGGTAGGCGGGCGAGCAGGACTTGAGTGATCTATGAAGACGAAGGTATCCAGGGTGCGGAATTCAAGGCGTCTGTCGGGTACGGAATGCTTGTTGTTAATAAATGAGGAGCGCTGTACCGAGGAACAGAGGTGAAATCTACAATTAAGGATGCTTCCCCGACGATTCCCTCTCGAGGAATGTATCCTCCTTGACTTCTTGCAGTTCTTCCGCTGCTCAGTTCTCCTCGCTCCAGGATTCACGCGTCTCGTTCTTTCGGGAATCTCATCCGTTTCTCCTAGATTCAGGCCTTCGCTGAGAATGAATGCGCTCATGAAAGATATCCCGATCCCGTTCTTGATCTCCGCGCTCGATTGATTCGATTCTCAGTGTTTTCATTTCCTCGGTCTTCATGAAGAGTCTTGTTGCTCGCAATAGAAGGACCGAAAATGCTGATCCGACGTAACAACCAGAGAGTCACAACTGATGAGAGCTGACCAGCCCTAACAGCAAGAGAATGTTTGTCATTGTTGCCTTGAGTGAAAAATTCCTCGCCGCTCCACCCAACTGTTGCGTGGGGTGGTCAGTTATCTCCGAGTGCAGCATTCTTCCTCAAAAATAACTCAAATTTGTTTAATTACGACGAGAATGAGAACGTTGCCGGTCACAGGCTAGCCAACAGCAGCATGCAGAAGCCACCCTCGCATCTGGGGCGCTTTATACCAAGCTGTCTCCTCTCATTCCTCGACCAGTCCCTAATTCCCCTCGGTCGCGCGGTCATCTATCCCTACAACCGGACGGTCAGCATCCAGCACTAGGCAGATTCTACGTCGGCAGCGTTCTACGAAGTAGTTGCACGCTTCATTTGGCAAAATCATCGAAGTTAAGCCTCTCGTTCCCTTCGATTCCGGATCGGCGAGATTATTTCGTATTCTGTTAGGGGCTCGCAAAGTAGTAGCAGCAGCTACGTCTACAAGGGCGCGCACAGATTCACGAGTTTCGTCAACAGCGAATGTTGCGCTTTGTGCGAATTCCTCTGGACTTTTGCTGCTTATGTCCCTGCTGCTTTTGCCGCTGGTGCTCTATGCGGCACGAACGAGTTTAGGCGTCAGTTTATCTTGATTCGCCTCTTTCAGCGAAATTCTTCGGCAACATCGAAGTGCGCTGACGACATCAGCACATGGGTCACTACGAGCCGCCGATTCCGACTGTCACAGCAGAACTTTCGGAACATCCTCTGGATGTTAGAATAATTGTGCTGACTACGATATACGCAAGCTGGGGAATGCCCCCCTCCTGGCCGGGATGCCTGAGCATTATTCGGCAAATAATTTCCTCGATCCTCACTGTACCCATCCTTCCAGGCAATATGTCGAATCCAAGCGAGAGCGTAGCGGGCACGTACCCACAGAAGGAGTCGAGTTTGACGGATCACGATGACCTTCACTCTCTCACGCAACTCGTCGATCATCCCAAGAAACTTCACAAAACTCTTTTCAAACTGATTGATAAGAAAGAGGTGAAGAAAATGTTGCCGCCAAGTCTGAAGGTAAGTATCTTCTCTATTCACCACTTCCCCCCGTATGATGCGTGGAGAGACCACCGATGGTCCAATCCGCAGAGATTCCCGCGTAGATCGAGATCCCCGATCAGAGTGGAGATCTGAGGACTCGCCTCTTTCCATTCCAGAAGCTGAAATCGAGCGCGATAAGAGAGCTGTGCCTGCAGAAACTGGAGCAAGTTTCGAAGGAATCGATCGTTAGGATGATCGTAGGGGGTGAGCATTCTAGCGTATTCTGAAACTATAACCCGTTAACTTTGTCACCGAGACCAGTTAAGCGGAGCAAATACTTACGCAAAAAAGTAGCTTGCATGTGTACGAGGGGGTGGCTTGAACAAACTCTCGGCTGGGGCAATGCGCCGGACGGGCAGAGGACCGCGGACATTGCGGTGGGCTGTGAGCAGGAGCGGCGGCGGCGGCGGCGGCGGCGGCAGGAAGAACAGCGAGAAGACTGGAGGAAGAGTACGGGTATGGGTAAAACTTGCAATGCGGTCTTCTCACGCTCCAAAAAGTTTCTCTGTAGCTGCAGCAGCCATCGTCGTCGCTGCTGTCGTCGTCGTTGTCGGGGAAAGAAGGGTTCGGAGCGGTCCAGGCCGAGTTCAGCTCGACTCTGGCCGGCAGCTAGCTAATGGTGTGTTCTGAAGCCCAATGGTCATTATGGTAACGCAATGTGCGTTAACATTAAAACATACGTCCATCCGTCTGCAGCCGCTGCGTACCTCATGCACTCACTCACTCAGTCACTCACCCGGTTTGTTCGCATACACGCAACACAACTCATTAAAACACAAGGGACCACCGGAGTGCAACAACAAATTTGCTTTTCGAGCCTTTTTGCCTCGAGTAATGGCTCGTGGCCGACCGGCTGGCTGGCTGACTGACCGACGAAAGGTTTTCCCTGCTCGCTCGCGACGATTTAATCCCCATTCCCCCCCCC